ACTTTGTCTGTTTAGGAAACTTCTCTCCTTTGGAGAAAGCCTAGGCCCAACACTTCAGTCAGAAGATAGTTTGCTTGCCCTCGAGGCCTCAGTATTACCAGGCAGCAGAACTAACAGCAACTGTCTCAGTCAAATCGGCCACGCTAAGAGCCATTGCTTTGACAGAACTGTTTTACGTGCCTCGACCATAATGTGATTTGTCACTGATTTCAGAGATGTGGCATGCAGCCATCCAGGCTTTCACAGGATTTTCTGGCTTGTAAGAAAGTTCTATTAGATTATTTATTCTGTCCCCTTGATGATGGCAGCTTCTTACTGATGTGCTCTTTGAATGGAAGTAATGCTTTCCTACAAGCCCCCACACTCCTTTAAAGTCCTCTTCCTATCCCTAATGGTTTGATTTCCAGAGGTGATAGTACACTCAGGCCCTTTTACTCCTTAAAGAAGTAGGACTGCTCAGACTTCTTGAAAACCAGGCCAACAGTGTACATATAGAGGGGTAATTGCTATCTTTGTAGGCAGCTCCAGGCCATGTCATAATACGCTCTGTTAAGTGAGGACAAAGTCCACACTAGATGGATGAGCAGTTAGGAGCAATGCAGGGTTGTGGTGAAGAAAGAAACACATCAGTCCATTCAAATTTCTTTTTTCCAGTGTACACAGAGAGGGAGCTTAGCAAGGATGAGCATCTGCCCTGTCGTAAGATAGGCAGAACACACCACACCACATGGGTGAGGGACACTGGAAGAGCTCGTTTAAACCTGTGGTACTTGTCTGCATTAGTAACTCATGGGAAATTTACACTTGTGTGGTTTAAAGTTGCATTCTGTTTTTAATGAGTTTTGCTTACACTATACACAAATTATAATTAGGGGATGTACCTCAACATATCTTCAAAAGAAACTTCTTTTTCCTCAAACCACAGAACCCTGCAGGCTGAGAACTCAGATTTTTCTCCAGTTACTTACTAAAACTTCTTTGATGAGTATTTCTACATGAATAAGAGATGTGGAACTAGGACCATGCTATTATTATATAAAATAGAAGTGAATTTAGGGATTGAAGCTAACTGCAGAACTGCAGAGTTTGTGCATTCCTGGTTTAACACATGTAAATTGACCTCCGAAGGAGCATCTATGAGCATCTAAGCGTATCCAGTGGCTTGATCTTGCCATAAGGGGGAAGTCTTGTTCCTTCTCCTCCTTTTCTTTCTCCTCTAACCCAAACCTCTTCCCAAAGGCCCTGCCTCCTCACTTGTGGTGGCTCTGGAGCTTATTTGACTTGCCTGTGAGCTGATACAACTCACTGACCCAGCAAAAAACTAGGCAGCTCTTTCTTTCAGGGTCACGTTTCTGCTTGGTTAGTGACCAGCACTGGTGACTGAAGGCTTCATTCATTCACAGGTAACAGGGCTGACAAAAGAGAGATGACAGGATTGCGTGAGTGGGAACAGGGCCTCCTCATTTTGCTGGAGGTGAACTGTTGGTTTAGTGACTACCATCTTAGGAAGTCTAAACATGAGCACTAAAATCCATTTTAGTTATCTGAAAATGCAGTTTAGTAAAACCAGCTGTTTCACACAAGCACAGCTGAGGCCAGTCCTGTATCTCTGGAGCAGAATGCCTCCAGCAGCTTGTACAAGCCCTGTTGCCCCCCTGCCTGGCCCTGACACTCTTTCCCACGCCGGCTGGCTGGGAAGCCAGGATATTTGTATGCCTTCCCTGAGAGCTGGGCTGGGAACTGGTCCAGCTGAAAAGTAACTTTTGTACCCAGCTCACTTACAAAGAGTTGTGGCAGTAAAATGTGGGGCAGAACAAGGGACAGAGATGGGCTATTAAAGCTGGATGAGAGCAAAGCTTGTATATGTCCAGTTGCTCCTTCCCACTGCTCTCCAGAATGTTACAAGTCAAAGGCTGTGACCTCTGGCAGCTCATACACCTTGTGCTTCAGATGTGACTGTGTAGGCCTGCTGCCCTAACTACTGCCAACAACAGCCTCTTGGGCAAGGGGTTAAATCAGGTGCTTGAGTTTTCCTGGTTCTTGAAGGGGGGGGGGGAAAAAAGCAATGGAAATGCCTGAGATGGTGGGTGGGTCACTATTATATGTATACGTTATTCATGTATTATTTACCTATGATTATAACCGAGACATTGCGTAACATAAGCTGCAATGTCGGCTTCCGAGGTTTCAGCTGTCCTTCCTGTCCTGATCTCTTATGCTATTTTCTGCATTCCTTTATTGCACTTTGTCTCATGCTAAACTGTAAGGCCCTTGTAGCAGAGACCACGTCACTGATGTGCCAGCACAATGCCTCAGATAATGGAGCTCTAGCAGCAATGGGGTCCTTTGGGAGCACCCGTCACAGAAATGTCAGGAGGGAATAGTTTCACTCTTGTGGAGTGCAGAACTAATCATGTCTAAGAGTGCTTGGTTTTTGCCAGCCTCTTGCCTACACAGTTCCTAACCCTCCATCTCTGCCAGCTGTGCCCATTGCCTTTACACACCCTGCTACTCCTCTATTTTGACTCCATGCCTGATCCTTCCCTTTTTGTCAAGAGATCACAGGCTGCCTCCTTTCCCTCATTCTCTGCATCTCCCCTTTCCTTCCTGACCTTTGCCTGTCTGCTGACTAGGGCTGCAAATAAAGATTAGGTAATGAGCAAACCCCACTTCCCCAGATTTAAAAGAGAAGCATCCAATAATTGTTTGCTTTCTAAATACAGAGAATTTAAACCAAATGGTATTTAGAGCTGGAGGGCAAAGGGGAGATAGGAGGTGAGAGAGAAGAAAGGAAGAGGCAAAAGAAAGCCACCCCTCTCCTTTGGAGTTGTCTTTGGCTTTGTTTACATTTTAACAGGAGTATAGGGTAAGATGAGAACATAAATTGCTATGGTAATACCCAATCACATGTAGTGACTCTTGTTCAAAAGCAAGTATATGGTTTTGGTTTAGCTTATGATTTTTGAAAGGTTTTTTCACCTAATTAAATCCAAATAAACTAACTATCTAGAGGAACCAGGAGTGTCTACAGTAGGTTTAAAGAGATAGAAGTTCTGTGGGTTTCAGTGCACTGGCATGCTTTGTGTATCACTTGAAAAGACTCGATGAAAACTGTACTTTGCTGATGACAGCAAACTGTGCCAAAAGATACAGCTGAAGAGGAGTAACTGCTAGAACATTGGATCTCAGTCTTTTTGGACCTGCATGCTACTGTTAGCCTCCACAGTTTCTGACAAATAACAATTTGATTTCATACTTTAAACTGGAAACACTATGGAGGCACCAAATGCCTATGATGGTCTATCATGCTCTTACAGGACATTTACGATCCTTGACCAGAGCAGGGGAACCACTGGTCTAGAAAGAGGGGAGATGGAGGTAGAATGAAAGTGCTGATTCAAGACTCCACACATGCAAATCTTCACTTACTACAGAAACCAACACAGTTGGAGGTGAAAGAGTTAAAATCTTTCTGATAGTTGGGTTCATTGCAGAGTCACCGTGTGGGATGTGAATACAGATGTTAGGGGTCTCACATAGCCTGCTTGTTGCTAATGGAATGATTTGATGGGAACTTTCTGCGAGAACTATGGGTAAAGGAAACCAGAGAACAAAGTCTGAGAAAAATATCATTAGGGCAGCTATAATGCACCAGTAGAGTGGCATGTTAGGAACAGAGGAAAAAAAGCAATGCCAGACTGGTAAAATGACAACCCTCAGCTGGATAGTTCAAGACCTGGCAGCTTACATGCTATAATAATATGCATTTTGTTGCAGGGGCCATGTGGACAAACTGAGATAGGCTGGACTCCGTTAAACATGGATTATGTCACCCAGTGCAGACAGAAGTTGTTAGACAAAAGAGCTTAAAGAAGGCTCAAAAAAAAAAAAAAATCAACAGAGGAACCCAACAGCTGGCAATATTGAAAGGAGGTATGAAGAAAGGATCAGCTCTGAGGATTCATTGGATGGATGTGCTTGGAGATAAACTGAGCTATAATCTTGCCAAAGATTAGGTGAAAATGAAAATGCTGATAGTACTGCTGTATTTGGATTATCAAAGAAAAACAACTGACCAAACCACCAGCATTTTCCTGCATAACCAAATCCTTGCTTGGTAAACACCAACTGCAGATCCAGGCTCAAACCTTGAGCCAGCCACACATGTGACAGCAGTGCTGCTGCAGAATGGCATACGGGGTTTGAACTTGTTCTCAGGAAGTAAGAGCTCACTGGGTGTTAGGTCAGTCCTTACATCTGGGTGGAAACTTATAGTAATTGTGCAATTTCCCTAAAAAATCCCCAGAGATCTCAGTTAGGCATTTTGCCTTTGCAGCCTTTCCTGCCTTTGCTTGCAGTGCTTTTCACTCGTAGTCCTTGTGAGTCCTTTACATCATGTAAAATTCGGTTATTTCTCAAAGACCTTCATACAGCATTACAAAGCCACCAATAAACGAGGTCCCTTTGGCCGCAATACCTGTCTTCATTGAGTCATGCTCACTTAACGGGGGAAAAAAAAAATAACAGCAAGCCTGGATTTATCCTTTTTTCCTCCTTTTCCAGGCCGGCCACCGGAGCATCCTCCAGCCGCGCAGTCCCCAGTGCAGCAATCGGGGCGGCGGCTCCAGCATCCGCCGCAGCGCCGACCCGGCCGCAGCTGCTCCGCGCTGCTCGGGGACGGCCGAGCCCCCGGGGGCCCCGGCGGTGCCGCAAGGTGCGCAGCCCTGAGCCGGCTGCCATGTCCACTGCGCCCGCCCCCGCGGCGCGGGCGATGCGGCGGGAGCCGAGCCCGCGCAGCCCCCGCACCGGCGCGCAGGGGGCGGCGGGGCCGCGCCACGCTGCGCTCGCTGCCTGCCCGCGGCGCCGCCGCCGCATCCATCGGCCGGCTCCCGGCTCCCGGTTCCCGGTTCCCCGCTCCCGGCGGGCGCGGGACATGCGCAGTGCCGCGCGCCTGCCTGCGCCGCGCTCCGCGGCCGCGCTCCGTGCCTCCTCCGCCGCCTCCCCCCGACCCTCCTGCCGGGCGGAGGAGGGGGAGGGAACGAGGGGGAGGAGGAGGAGGGAGGGGAGAGAAGCGGAGAGGAGAGAAGAGCGACAAGACACGAGAGACGCGCCGCAACTTGCTGCTGCTCCCTCCCTTCCCCTGCGCTGGCCGCGCTGCCCGGCCCCTGCGGGTGCGCCCCGCGGGACGCGCCATCCACGGGAGCAGCTCTGCGCGGGGCTGGCGCCTCCCGGTGAGTTGGGCACGGGGCGCGAAGTTGCCGTGTGTGTGTTTGGGGGGCTCGGGGGGCCCGTGTGCTGGTGCAGTCGCGGCGGGGGCCGGCGGCGGGGCCGCCGCAGGGCTGCGGGGCTCGGGCTGCCCTTGCCTGGCCGCGGTGCGCGCTGCGGGCGAGCGCGGCGATGTGCGGGGCGATCGGGGCGGCAGCGCTCACAGGTGCAGGGCACGGCCCCGGCGGGGTCATTGTGCGGCTCTCCGCGGCGCGGGGTTACCGCGCCTCCACGCTGCTGCCAGCCAGCCCCGTAACTGTGTTTCCATTCAAATCCTATTACGTGGTGACAGTCTCCAGTTTGTTTCACAGTGGCATCTGCTCTTGGGCTGGGAAAGTCCTTAGAGGAAGGAGTCGCTGGGGAGAGCGGGGGCTGCTCCTTAAAGAGAGCTGCAAGCGCAGATTGTCCCTAAGGCACTGTGTGCTGCTGGGAGCTTTCGGGGCTCTGGAGAGGGGAAAGGAAAAACTGGCACATGGTCACGCTAGAAAGTTGTGTAGCTTGAGATGCTACAGACGCTAATGGGCCAATTATCGAAATAAACAAACATAGTGATTTATAGGTGTCTGAACTACAATGCTGTGAAGGATAGAGCTCTTTAACCTCTCTTTCTAATCTTTCCCTCAGAGATTTGGTTTTAAGGAGAGTAATATATCATCTGTGGTGCTGAATGCTGTGGAGTTGATTACATTTGTAAAAGGAATGGCCTTTGAAATAATACTGAGCCATTAGGCAATAAATGCAGAAAAAAAGTGAGAAAGACCAGTGATAAAATTTTGGCAGAAAATATTTCTCCCCTTCCTAGCAGCCTAGGAAGCCTAGAAGCCGTGCTTGAATAACTTTTATCCAGAGTTGTTATTTTATTAAATTAAACTTCAGTAAAACAGGTGTGCTGTGTGAAACCAGAAGCAAATCCTCCTTAGTGCTCTTGAAGTCTGTCTGTGTTGCAGTTAAGTGATGACCGGAGCAGCATCTGTTAAGAGAATTTGCAGAAGCAAACATCGCTAAAGATACCTAGTAGGTAAATGGAAATACATTGTCATTGTATTTATTTCTCATAGATGATACAGAAGCAGACATTCCAAATTATAGTGGGTTTTATTTTACATCTTTAAAAATCTTGTCCTCATAAATATTCTTCTGTGTGAGGTGCAGATTCTGAGCCTGTGAGGTATCTCCTGCAAGGGGTGAGTGTCTTTTGCCCTCATAGAAAAAAAAAAATAGTGCAGCATGTGTAACACCTCGCAGGCCTGAAGCGCAAGAGCAGTTTCATCTTTAACCAGCGTTTCAACACAGGATGTTATTGACATGAAATCCATATTCAGGTCAGCAATGGGGATCTGCAACTTCCAAATGAGAACCTGATCTGAAGGCAATGCATTGCTCATATGAGTAAACGTTGTGCAATATGACAATTGGCAACCTCACCTATCTTTTGTTTGGTTCCTCTTATGAGATGTCATTTAATGAGGAAAAGAAACAGGTAACCATTGCATTTGAAGATGCAGTGCTCCTCATAAGCCTTATTGCCAGGCACGTGAACATGAATGTGCCTTTAGATCATGTATTCTATACAAATGACTACTACTAGATTACTTAAGTTCTAAATTTATTTTATTAAAGTTATATTGATCAGAAAGTGGCAACTGGGTTCCAAGTCCTAAATAAGAAACCTTCAATAATCTAGAGCTAATTTATATTTTAAGAATCATGGAGGAATCTATGAGAAAATCAATCACGTTTTTCTTGCTGGCTGTGTGGTGGCATTTAGTTAAGGAACACTCCTTCCTGGGGCACTGTGTACTTCATTGACACACAAAGGAGTTAAATGTGTTTATCAGCTCGTTGATGTCCATGGTAAAGTGCTGTAGAGTTCAGTGGCTGGAACAGGACACAGTTGTTTTCTTTCCAGTAAGGATGGGGATGGAAAGCTGAGGGGCTTTTTCAAAGTAGTTCCAAAACCATATAATTTGAAACAGCAAACTATAATGTAAAGAATAAGATTAATAGGCCAAGAAGGTTCAAAACCATTTTATAATATTAAATTAAAAAACTGATCATTCAAATAACATTAGCCAAGCTCCTATAGCAATGCCTCTGCTTCCAGGTCCTGAGAATGGAGCAGGTTTCAGGCACAGAGTGGCTCAGCCCCAGACCAGCAGCAGGGGGACAGGGGTGTTGCAGCCTGATGGTTGTGCTGTGGCTGGGAGGGAACCCAGGCAGGGTGAAGGAATGCAGAATGCTGCCACTCACCCTCATCCCTGAGGTACAAGCTGGGACCATGAATGCCCCCCCCCCCAATGTTTGAGGGTTTGCTGAATGTATGGCAACTGCTGTTCCAGGCCCTGTATGGAGCCACCAGGGAATAGGTGCTGGATGAGGCCCTGGTTGTACAGCCTTTAGCTTCCAGACAGGCTGCCCTGGCTGCTTGCTGCCCATCCTGACATCCCAAGGATGCTATCAGTTGCAGGCCTTATACTGTGTATAATGATGCCAAAAAATTTCTGGTGAGGGAAGAAGTTCAAGACAGCTTCTTCCTCAGAAAAATGGTCCATTTCTAAATGTTCATATAATCAGGTAACTGCTTACATTGAGTAAAGCATAGAAAGGGCAAGTAGTGCACGCTCATTTGTGTAATACTGCTAGTCATAAACTCTAAACTTTGCAATCCCTATCCAGTTGTGGGGGCTTTTGGAAGCCCTGTGAAAGCTGCAGCATGGATGAGGAAGTCAAAGTCTGAAGATGTGGCTGCCAGTTTACTGAAGGTAGTTGAGATGACCTTGGTTGCTGTTCCCCCATGTCCATCCTGGTATCCCTCACTCTCTGAATTGCTGTGCCACAGCTTCTCCATCGGTCTTTCCTTCCCTCTGGCCCCTTGCCTGTGCCACGCTGGCAGCCCTGCCCTGCTCATGAACTGGGGTGAATGCCAGCCTGCAGGGTGACTCACTCGAGGCCCCAAACTGCAAACCCCTCTGTAGTTTCACTTTGCTTTTCTTCTGTGGTGAAGAAATTCTTTTGCAACACTGTGCCTGCAGTTACCTGGGCAGGGGAGGATGAGGGTGTTGGGACCTCCAAAGGTTGCTCCTGCAAAGGTGCATCAAGCACAGCTGTTGGATGGAGGTGATGAGTGACGGGAGGTGTGCCTTTGCTTCATGGATGTGATATAACCAAGTTTTAATTAAAGCAGTCACAGTAGATTATTAGGGTAGATAAATAGTGCCTTGTTACAGCCCTCTCGGGTCATATGTAAGCAGTATTCGTTTTAGAAAGGATGAATGAATAGTCAGTGTGAAGGATAAAGATCAGCATTGTTAATCACTCTGGAAGTCTTCCGTGGGAAAATGTAAACTCTTGAGGAAAGATACTGCTCATAAATGTCATTTAAGTATTTACATAACTTGAGGATAATTTTGATATTAAAGGCATGCAAGTATCAAGTCTTGTTTGGGTTCCTGTCAGAGATAACCAGGACTTGTACAGTTGGCATTGGTTAGTGGGGGGCTGTATTTCTATGTAATGCTTTGCTAGCCATAATGAAGAGCCCTTTTTCAATGCTACCTGTGAAAAAAATCTTATTTGTTCTTGTCAACATGCAGATAAAAATGTTAGAAACTTGGGAGGCTGCGTCTTCTTAAACTCCTGTGCTTCAGAGGGGGTAAACTCTTCGCCTGTGTTCCTGGGTAAGCAGCGTGCCAGGTGCTGTTATGCGTACTGACTATCCAGATACAGTTTGTTGCTGTTGATACATCTGCAGGGTTAGAAAAAGGACTTCAGGTGGGGAAAAGTGGGTTTCCATCCCCATAAATAACAGGAAACGAGAAGAATTTGCCTCTACTGTTCTTTGATTTTGTAATTCTCACTAAAGTTTCTTTTGTCCTTTTCCAGCTCTCAGAATGCGATACAACTGTTGAAAAAAAATCAGTGTGCTTTCATGTAAATACGATGAGGATGAGCCTTTGAAAACATATCTAGCTGATGTTGATGAATAAACAAACTTGGCCAGGGTAAATCTTTTCATCTAACTTCAAGAGCCAGCCACGCTATAATGAAGTAAATATAGATGTTCTTAATGGGCTTCTTTCATCCAAATATACAGTGAACCCTCTAAAGTAAGGCAAACAAATCTAAAATGGATTTCTAAGTGGCTTTTTTTTGTTGTTGTCTTGATATTGCAGCAGTTTACTCTAGCTGGGCTAGACTGGGAGTGGAGCTTGCTCCTGGAGCTATGAACATGCTAAGGTGAATGCTGACCCAAGTAGGAGAGGGCAGAGGGAACATGAGAGACCTTGCTCTTCTCCTGCGTAGTTGTACGGTAAAGGCAGGAAGTGCTTGTTCCATGTGTAGTTCCAAACTTGCTATTTGATGAGTGTCTCCCCAGATATGTCCCTTTGGAAGACAGCTTGCAGATGAGGCTTTGAGAGTCAGGAAAACCTGCAGGGGCTGCTGCCTGTTCCCCGCTGGGTGCAGCTCAGCCCAGGCTGCCCCCAGAGAGCTGTCCAAGTATGGCATGACTGGCCGCCTGCCTCTGGGGCCTCCTGCGCACGATGTGCCGCTGCTTGGCCAGGTGCTAACCTGCTTGGGGGGCTTGCTCTGCAGGACACATCCTGGCAGTGCCCCAGCCTGGGTCCTGGCTCACAGAGTGCCTGAGTTGAGTATTAAAGGTGGCCTCGGCGCCATCATGACAGCTGCTGTAGACACGGCCATAGACACAAGGGTGATTGCAGTGGTTGTGGTGACTTTGGCAAAGTCTTGTTGGTTGGAAACTGTGGAGAAGTGGAGCTCAAAGAACAGTTCTGCAGATCTGGATATTTACTGCATGAGAGTGGATTGGGTTTCATTTCAAGACTTGTAGAATGACTGTTTTCACTGGTGGCATTGGGGAACAGATTAGTTTCTTGTGCAAAGTGTGTCTTGCACATACAACTCTTTGGTTTCATTGCCCTTGCTTTGTGAAGAAGATCAACGTGTA